TCACATCTAAGAAGCAGAGCGCACATATTTTACCTATATTTTTCATATCCATGAAAAAAAATATTTTAAAGCTCACCTTATAGTTTTGAAAAAGTATTAAAATAAAACCAATAATTTTAGGGGCATTTTTATACTTACCACACTATTATTATACATTTACAAATCAAACACCTAAACTTTCATATTTGCATGCATAGCACTGACATCCTTATTATGACATTAAAAATATCACTTTCATTTACTTTTAGAAGTAAAATACACATTTTCATGCATAATATATATAAATTTAGGTGTTAGATATGCAATGTCCCCAACTAATCTCTATTCCTGATAGGGAAGGAACAGAGAAAGAAGGAGAAGAAGGGTGTTCAAACAGCAACTAACATGTCAGGGGAGCTGTTCAAACAGCCTCTATGGTTAATCCTAGGTATTATTGCAAATGTGACTCATATTAAATGATGTCAAAGCTATAGTACAAAAATATTATTGCATATTCTGTATTTATTCCATGTCATAAACTCTTACCTATACAGATAATCTTCATCACAACATCTGTTGATGATGAACATGGATCTAAGCCAGCAGCTGTAGTTCCATACTATGATGACTGAGGGAATAGAAACTCGCCCCTGAATCCCTTTGACCGCCGGTACTTGTGATTGTCGGCATTGCCGACGCTTGTTCGAGCAAACTTCATGGATTCCTCAAAATGGGCTGCTTTGATCTATGCAACTTCATCTGCATCATCTTCCTCCATGGCCTCAGGGCTGTCTCCTTGTTTTCTCTCCCATTCAATATCCTAAAAAATAATGTATGGATTCATAATTTGTTGATTCATGGACTTGTAAATTGTTACAGCTCTCTCTCTCTCTGCATATCCATGGAATAGATTCCTTATAACAGAATGTCAAAATTGATTATTTGCAGAGGACAGGTGTACAGTCTTGATTTAATCTCATGCACCTATAGCATGATGCAGGCAACCAAGCCACTGAGGTTTCCAGCATGCAAGAATGGCAAATTACTTGATGAGGCTATCACTGCCCCTCAAATTAGTGATTAGTAGGAAGAGTGAATTTGCTCCGAATGGTATGAAAATGAGGTGTTGGAAGACTCTTGGTGAAAAGATCGTCAAGTTGATCCATAGTTTTAATATGATGGACGATATCAGCTTAGAGTTCATACAATCACAGATAAAATAAAAGTCTACCTTGTAGTTTTAGGAGAGGAAAAAAAAACAATGTGACAGGCAACTACAAATGTAGCTAATTGCTACTATGACTTTCAACTACAACTTTTGTGGCCAATTGATGTTATCACAACTTCCAATTACGGCTTACACAACTAACTAAAGTTGATGTGATCAACTATGACCTATGTAGCTAACAACTACTGTAGTTTTAGCTACGGCTGCTATGACCAACAAATGCTACTATAGCTACCAATTGTTGCCTATGTAACCAACTATGACATCTGTCATCAGTTTCTGTTGTAGCTTTCCACTACAGTCTTTGTGGTTAATTAACATTGCTGCACACACCCAATTGGATTTTGGCTAATTGGACCGACATGGCCACAGAGTAACGACTCTACAGGGAATCAACGAGTTTTCTTGAGTTGGTATTGACCTTCCCAGTTTCAGGGTGTTTATTAAAACAGACAGTATATATAAATGTGAATGAAAGTTAAATGATAAGTAACTTGATTGTGAATGATTGCATGGTTTCTGATGAGATGCATAATTGATATTTACCCCTCTTGTTGTCTCATAATGTTACATATGCACATAGTGATTCTTCCTTCTTGTTCATATTGTATGCATAATTCTCCTTGTCGTTTGTACTTTAATAAATAGTTGTTATTTAATGAGTTTGTTTGTCAAACTCACTTTTTGATTTTTTTTTTCTACATAAAAGATTTTATTCAGCCATCAATATAACCATCTCCACCAGAGCAGACTTTTTTAGTTTTAGTTTCATAGTTTAAGTATTTTTCCTGGGTATTTTTTTACCTATTGTTTTTTTTTGTTAGATTCGAGTAATTGTTCTATGTTATCATTTATGTTTTGATCCAGTTGAGCTTTTTTATTTTCAGTCCAGTTGTAACAGTGAACATTTAAGTATAAAAAAATTTTACATTTTTTTATTTGCACTGAAAGTCTTTCTTTGATAAAAAAAAACAAACATGTATTTTTTTTTTATTTCATCATGCTCTGCGTTGTCGGGGTCTATCGTTTTTCAGACCCGGGGTGTGATATTAAATAAGTGAAGACATCATTATTATATTATTTAAATTATATTAACAAAATTAACATTTATTCCATCATTCAGTTGAATTCATATTTGTTGTTGACCTTTAAGCGCATAGATCTTTTGGTTAATTAGCCTAATTTTCATAATCTTGTGCATAAGAATCAATTAATACGATAACCTGATGAGCACTATGCTCCCATGACTCACTAAATTATGCAATTACAATTATTCTTATTAAAATATTAATAAGAATTATCTCTTGATTAAATTATAATATGATAATAAGATAAATTGAACAATATATTAAGATACGAATAATCCATTTTCATATGATAAAATATTTTTAAACACCTTTTAATAATGAACATATTTTGACTAGACAAAGGGTAAATAGAAATAGGAGTATTTACATATATATCACCTAATTCCTATGTAGTTACATATGTAATAACTAAGCTTAAGTTTTTACATCTATACCATCAAAACTTCATATCACATCCAGTCAAGCCTCCCTTCATGTTTCTATTTCCATGCATGAGAAATCTCGCGCTCGAACTCCCTTACTTTTCTTTTTCCTACACGCAACTCCAAATTTTCGCCTTCATTTTCCTTTTGTTCGAGCTCTGTTGGTGTTTACGAGTTATAGGAAGACAATGTTGCGTCACGACATACAAATACCTTTGAAATCCAGTCAATCACTTTCCAGCCCGCTTCTACCAAAAACCATTGGCGAAGGTAATTTTTCCTTCATTCTTTCTTCCGCTCGAATTTCTTTCATGATTTCCTTTAGGAGTTTTACAAGTTCTTGGTTCTAAAAAGACAATGTCGGGATTGAGGCATACAAAGGCCTCTAAAATTTACATTTTTCTCCTCCTTCCGGTCCAATTCTACCAGAGACCATTGACGAAGATAAACACATTCTCACTCCCCTTCCTCGAACCCTTCACATGCTTTAGCCTCTACTAAAAAATGGCCCATAATTGTGTGTGCAAATATGAAAACATATGGGAATTCCAAACTATATCCAACCAAAAGAAAGAATCTAATAACTTCACCAATTTCAAAATATGTTCTCTAATTTTGAATAATGAAGTGAGCCCTTGCTAATTTTGAGTTTGCTTGTATTTATCATAATTTAATTGCTTATGTATAGAAAACATGTTTTTGAAGAATTTGATTAGTTCTATGTCATTTTGATTGTGAAACTATACATTTAAAAAGTTCATTGTAAAGCTAAGAGTTTGTGTTAATTTTCAAGTATGCCCAATTGTTGAATTTGTTGATTTCGTTACATTTAAAAATATGTTTTCTAACTCTGAGTAAAAAAAATGTGTCGAAAGAGTACATGAGTTTGTAATAAAAAATCAAACATTACAACAAAAAGATGTATCAATTTAATGAATTTCATAGAGTTTTGTTACTTTATGGAGTTTTCTTGTTATGACTGACAAAATTGTAGGTTTTTAAATAAATTTATTTTCTTATTATGTGAGCTGCTTTAATGAATAAGTGGTGTGAACCTTTAATTAGTTTCACCAAAGTCTGATTCATATTTGCTTGCATTATTCTTTTCTTATGTATGGGTGGTGTGGCCCAAATTCAAGGTTGACTTAATGACATCAAAATAAGAGCTTATCCATCACATTCAAATATGTTGGATTTTGGATGCAAGTTAGAATTCAATCAAGAAAAAAACATAGGTAGCTGCTAAAAAATTATTAAATGTCAGAAAAATATGTTTAGTTTGGTAGTGTCAAATGAAGATGTTGAATTGAATTGTATAAATTACAATATCATAGATGTGGAACATCACCCAATGAGCATATGCCTATAGTTAATGACATTGAAATTGCAGAGATGATTGTTCACTTGAGTAGAGATGACCGAGTTAAGACAGTGGTCATCACACAAAGTTGTGGAAAATTGAAGTTTGTTCGCAATTTCAAGAAACATTGGTAGTTAATAACATATTAGAAGGTTGTTCTCCATATCCAAACCGCATATAATGAAAATATCGAGAGAGAGAGAGGTTTATAATAGGGGGTATCTAATTATCCAAGCTGGTGTTGAAAATGATTTGAAAGTTGACACACGTTTTCATGACTCGCATTATTTTAAGCAAGTTCTCTGGTCAATTGCAGTAAAAAATGACTTTGATCTAAAATTTGTAGCTAGCAATAAATCTCGCATTACCGTTGTTTGTTCGCATTGAGAATGTCCGTGGAGAGTAGAGCTATACTATATTCTAATTGACAGTCATTTGAGATGAGAAAATTCAAATCTAGTAAGTTGCAATCACAATACATTTTACGATATCTGATACCCTTTGAACTTGTTGAATTGTTCGAGTTAATTTTGTATAATTCAATCTTGTAAATCAATGATGTGAATGCAAATTAGTGTTTGTTCTTAATAAATATAATACATAATGAAAATGTGTGTTGAAATGATATGTTTCTTTTCAGTAACTTACACTAAAATTTGAATTTAAAATTGTCATTTATACTGTTTGACAGGATTATAGGTTAATATTAAGATTTTGGATGCGAAATATATAAATATAGAAATATGGTGTGCTAGGTTTGTAAAAAACCCTACTAGAAATTAACTATTTAAACTTCCAGCATCCGGAAGTGGCCTTATCGGGCCGACACGATCCGGGTCTAAACGCGTCGCAATTGGCTCAACTGGCTCAACCTATAAAACGACTCTTCTGCCTCGAATACTTCTTCCTGAAATGAAGGTTACCGCTCTTACCGCCTGCTGGTATCCCTGTTCTTCCTCGTGTCATGGCCGGAGCGGTCGAGCTCTTCAATGGCGAGAGGGTCGTCGTTTTTCTCTTCGTCTCTCGCATCCTCTTCGCCGCTCCGTTCCTCTTGGTATACGAGGCTGCGGCACTCGTCGTTCTTGCGATCGCCGGACTCCTCGTCGAGATCTCCGTCGAGAACTCCGTTGCCACCTTAGATTGTTTCAAGTCTAGGTTGATTCCCTTGCACGCGTGCTATAATTTTTCCGTTTAAGTTTATTTTCAAAATTTTCTCATTCCTTGCATGTCTGCTGGATTTGGGCAAAATCATAATTGATCCTTGTGTAGGCTATCCTGCAAGTAGGGATGTTCCATGTCTCACTATGTGTTGGGGCCTGGAAGATTGGGGTGATTTGTGGTTCTTCACGCTTCATGAAACTATTTTAAACCTTTGTTCTTAACCTGATTGTACTTGGTACCTTATTATGCTTTCCTTGGTTCCTTGATGATCCGAGTATGTTTGTGAGGTGTGCGAGTAGTGCAGATCTTTGAGATCATTGGATGTTTTTCAAATTTTCTGCATTCGCCCTTGCTCTTTGATTGGTTTAGAGCTTGCTGGAATTATTTTCCTTCTTTGTTTCAATCTTTGAGTTGAAAGTTGAGTTGAAAGTGGTTGGTACAGAACTCGTAATTCAAGTTTATTCAATTGATTAGTTGAAGATTTAAGTCTGTTTGTCTGTGCCTTTAGTAGGATATATTGTACTGACTTTTTTCTCCTTGGAGAGCATGAATCCTGATGTATGTGAATTTAACTGCATAAATTTCCAGTTTCCACAAACATTTGAATTGTGTATGATAGCCTAAACTGTATGAAATTCTTTTATTAAACTCGTGTGAATTGCCCTTGAAAATTTGGTGCATGTTTGTAAATTTTTTTTTCTCCTCTGTTTAAATCCGTGAAGTTAAAATAATTCCAGTATTGCAATTGTAACTCAAGTTGGATCGGGTGAAGATATCAACACATTTTCTGTTGCCTTTTTGCAGTGAGATATTCTTCCGACTTTTTTTTGTTCCCTTGAATTTATGAATCCTAATTTATGTGAGGTTAAGTGTTGTTTTTCTAATGTCTCTCTGATATAAGAACTTTGAAAAGTTTTCTGACATTTGAATTTTTTATGAAAGCTTAAATATGGTCTAAGCTGCATGATATGCTCTTATAAAATAATGGCAATGTTTGGACTACAAAATTTCAAGAATCCCACAGGCCAAGAACAGAAAAAAGTAAAAAAAAAGGCAGCTTTTTTCTTAAAGAACTATCATGCTTCCTAATACTTTTTACATGATTTTTTCTTTTTTTTTTCATTCGGCCGACATTTTACTTTATGGGGGAATAGTTATGTGCATGATGTGTTAGTGGAACTTATAACGCGGGATTAATCTTGAATGTATTTCATCATTATGCAATCTTCTTTTTCATATTCGAATTTATACACTAGTTTGGATATATGACAAGCTCTTTTATAATTCATCTCTCAATCCGGTTATGGAGAGATTGGGGTTCAAGGCGAACACCGTGGAGTTTCATTGAGATAGATATGTAATTGTAAATAATTCTAATTTAAAAATGGTTAGCATTCTTACGAATAATTCAATTTTGTGATGTACGGTATTATTATCTTCCATTGTTTATTGTATTTTATTTTTTTGACTTAAAATTTTTAAAGCAAGACTGTCTATAATGAAATATTTATTTATAGTGACAATGTGCATTTGTTTCATTTGATGCTACTTCTTTGTATTCGTTTTTGAAAGCTACAGGTTTTTTTTCGCCGCAAAAATGGAATCCTAGACCCCCCATTTAAAAATTAGGAGCAGTACCACTACATCAATTGAGAGATTTATTACATGTCATTTGGTTTTATAAGTTTTGAAAAAGGCCTCATCCTTTGTTCATTTAGGGTTCAGTTTCTAGGTAAGCTTTTGATTTTAAAAAAAAAAAATCTTTTTTAGTTATTCTTATTTGCAAATCCTGTATTGAAATTTTTTTAAGCATATGATTGCCATTATGTTGAGAAAATTAGGGCGAAGAAAAATAGGAATCGACACAAATCCAGAAGAACACAGAGATTTAACGAGGTTCGGCAATGATGCCTACGTCCTCGGGAGCAGAGCGACGAGTTCCTTTCACTATTCAGAAAAGGGTTTACAGAAACCAGGGATGCCTCATGGGGTTACTAACAGACCGCGACGAGTTCCGTTCACTATTCAGAAAAGGGTTTACAGAAACCAGGGATGCCTCATGGGGTTACTAACAGACCTATTTATAACCCCAGGAGTAAACCTAGGCACAATATGTAATTACAACATTACCCCTGTACCAAACCGCGGGGCTTTTCCCCCGCACCCCAACCCACGTAACTTCCCAATTTGGACAGATTCTTCCGCTCCGCTCCGCTTCGATCCAGCGTCTGTCCCGATATGGTATATGAGCCATACCATAACAAATCTTCACCTTGGTGAATATCCAGCCCCTTAGGAGAAAAATACCTAGGAGTTACAACTGCACCACCGTTTCAACAAGTCCGAGCAATGCAAGAACTTGTTGATAGTAACTGGCTTGGTCAACATATCAGCTGCATTCTCATCAGTATGAACCTTCTGCAACAGTATCTCCCCAGAAGCAATCAACTCTCTGATCTTGTGATACCTGACATCAATGTGCTTGGTTCTCGCATGGTACACCTGGTTCTTAGCCAGATAAATAGCACTCTGACTGTCACAATGCAACTGAACTCCACCTTGCTCAATGCCCA